CTAGCTGTTCCCGTGCGACTTCATCCGCATGAAATTATGAAAATTTTATTTTATTGTTTACATTTGTCAAATTATCAATTACAAATGTCAAATGACATGATGGCAATCTTGCTTCCTTGATGTTGGCAGCAACTTATGGTCTCTTTCCCACATTAGAGTTTTTATCCAAAATATTTACCCCCTAAGTTTAATGGTGTTAAAATATATAGGCTAAAGCGTGACGCAAGTGTAGGGCTTTTTATTAGAAAAAATAATTATTCAAAAATATGCTGTAATTGCTGAGATCTTAGGCAACAAAGTGTGTGTTTACGCTTTACTATAATAGTATAGATTGACCATTTCAATTTCATTTTAATATGTCCATTAATATTACCAGATTCCAATGCCTCTACATGTCCACCTACATATGTCTCGGATTCCAACACATGTCCGTCCGTGGTCAGCTTATTCAGTTCCTCAACTTGTTTGTTTGGGAATACGATATTCGCATGGAATGCTTCCACCATTAGTAAAGATTCACATAACGTGCCGGAGCCTTTACGTAATACCTGAAATTATTTACTTTTTAATACAGTAAACCAATATAAAGTGGAAAGATTCGTTTTTCTGTACATTTATAGGAGTGATTTTAAAATTTCAATTACATTTATTAGAAAATATTCAGACCCAAGATAAAATACTAGTAACAAAATGCGATGTATTTTAACAATACTGAAATTAATATAACTTAAAGTGACCATAATGCATAGAAATATTTTTATAAGTAAAAAATAAATTAAGTATTAAAAAATATCTTTTCATTGAATGACTTACCTCATCAGGCTCCAAAGGAATGATAGTACAAAGGGCAAAAATAAATGGATGTACATACTTCATATAGAGATAGTATGTAGCCACCGCATCTGATACTGAATAGTTCGATAGCACCTGAAATAAACAAATAACTGCTTACCATTTAAATAACCTATGTACCATCGTTAGCTTAGTAACCGCCCAGGGCGCGGTTGTGCGACCGCCCAGGGCGTCTGAGACAGGGGCGTCACAATTTTGCGAATAGTGATTCGTAGTGGTTTCTTATAACTATTAAAAACACTACCCTACACCCATCATAGTAATATTTAGCGCCGAAAAGTTACGTAGGGTTGAAGGAAATAATAGTTTTCGCCCGCGAATTTGTCCGCGTGGACTTAGGAAAAAAAAGTAAGTTCCCTGTTTTTTTTTTTCAGATAATCTGGATAATCTCTTCATCAATGCCAAATTTCATCGAGATCCGTACAGCTGTTTAGGTAACAAACAATAACAAACATCCATCCATCCAAACTTTCACATTTAGAATATTACTAAGATGTTTACATCTATTATTCGTGACATTATCAGGTATTTATACCTGTGGTTGTTCCGCCGCCATTCTGCACATATCCTCAGGGTCGAGTTCCACGGGGTCATAGCGCAGTTTCGCCTTCGCCACCGCCTTCAGACCCTGAGAACCCACAGGCAAATACGAGTCTCGCTTCACCCAACTGCAAATAAAGTTTTAACTATCAAAAACTTATCTCTTCAGAATTACAAGACGTACATTCGTCCATTGATAGGCTTATGGTCTAGCCCAGGGCGCCCGTTAGGCACTAGCCCAGGGCGCTGGTTATATAGGGGCGTTACACGTCGAAGCATTTGACGGCGTTAAAACTGCATCCTGGTCATTATAAGATTATTGCTTTTACTATTTTATTAAACTATCTAATAAATTGGCCTTCCATACTATTGACACCTAAATGCTTAATTTCCGCATTAAATACATGTAAGAATAACAAACACACACACACAGACACACACACACACATAGACACACAAATATAAAAAACATTATCCGTCCGATTATTATGATAAAAAATCACAAGAACATTTTTAAATAGCTGTTTCGGTACAATGAATGTTAGAATGTGAGTTATTTACTTACCACAAACAGTCCATATGCATGGCAGGTCTGCAGCCGTAGGTGCCGTCTCTAGCGGAGAGCTTGCTGAAGCCGATCTCCTGCTTCATGTCGAGGCCAAGCGCTGCCGCACGCGTTTCCACAAACGGCCAGTCAAAGAAATCACCTTTATAGAGGAAAATAGCATTTCATTTGTTTTTTTTACTTCATTTTTAAAATAACGTAACGTTATTAGAACATTTTAATATAATTATTTCAATTCAAATAAAAAAATCGCGCTGAAAATACCTAAACAAACTTATAAAGATTTTTTTTCATTTAATATGATTAGTCAATTTGAATTTAAAATGTTTTATTGTAGACATAACTATATTTTCCCATACGATAGTCTTGAAAATATTACTAGAAAATTATCTTCTATGAATTTCTGTATATCTTATTTGTTAATAACAAAAAATATCAGTATATCTTTCTTAAACTTACCATTGTATGTGACAAATATGTGCGGTTTAACATCCATGATGTGGTCAAAAAACTTTTGTATGAGAGCCAGTTCATTTACCTCATTGAATATTATGAATTGACTGAAAAACAAACAAAACAACGCTATTATACTACTTTAATCTATAAAGTATATAAACAATAAAGTTATAAGGACAGAAATTACAGTTTTTGACAGTGGTTTTGGATTTGACAGTGGTAGTGACCGCTTTAACATCTTAGCACTGCAGGGGCGGCACGCCCGGTGTAATACCACGACCATACAGAAGACAGGCGTGAAATGGAAGCAATTCCGTGTTTCGTCTGATGAGTGTGGTGCCAGAGGCCTAATTTAAGTCCCTTTCTCTTGACCACCCTTTCCTTATAAGAAGAGGTTGGGAAGAGGAAGTGGATTTGACGGCGGAGGAGATGCATAGGAAGGGGAAATATCCTCTTTATGTGCGTCTCCTCCTCCGTCGTATAAGGGTAGGCAACGCATCTGCAATTGCGGATGTCTATGGGCAGCGGTCCCTTCGCCATTTTGGCGGTTTCAGGTGGCTGCTGGCTCGTTTGCCACCTTATGTTATAAAAAAAAAATAAAAAAAAACATTACCCTTCAAACTCTGGTTTTGGTGTATATTCAAAATCTTCAACATCAGTGGAAATAATCTCTCTATTAGTTATCAAATATCCTTGTCCATCAATCATATATGAAATCATCATTATTTGATCTGTCTGTGAGTCCGGGAACTTCAGTGGTAACTTCGTTGTCTCAATATCGAAAGCCAAAACAATAGGATCAGGTCGTTCTATTATATCATCTCTTCTTGTAAATATTGGTGTTTCAGTACCACGACTTTTCACTGTATACCAAGTACCGCAAAATATCTTCATGTCTATTGAAACTCTTACGTGAAATGGCACATCATGTTCCCTACAAACACAAATAAAATGTACATTTCAATAATATACTAAAGTGCAATATCAACCTGCACTGTTACCTTAGGGTCGGCACAGTATTTATACATCCATCTATCCATTTATAATACTAAGTATTTGTGGTATCATATAAAAACAGCTTTTGTTAACCCAGTAGTTTTTGAGTTATTTCAATACATACAAAATTACAAATCTTTTCTTTATAATTATCTATACTAATATTATGTAGACGAATGATTTGTATTTTTATATTTATTGAAATAACTCAAAAACTACTGGGCTGACTACAATAATTCTTTCACCATTAAAAAGCTATGTTATCAGTGAGTGACATAGGCTATGTTTTTTTATTATTTTGGAAATATCACACAAAGTCACAAGCAATAACTAGTATGATATTTTAATAATAATACCTGATATCAACAATATTCTCCATATGATCTGTTATTTTCTTAGCATGCTCGATAGCTGCAGCACTGGTTAAAGCATTAGTTAACATTTCTGAATAAATGGCATCTTTCTTCTCTCTCTCTTTGTTTTTATTTACAGCAGTCAGTATCTCTCTTCTAACTTTCGTTAATTCATTTTGTGACATAAATGAGAGCTTAATGTAACGCTGCTTTAGGCCTGACAGATGGTTAAGCTGGAAAAAGTATTCAATTTGTGTATCCTAGAGTAAAGACAATAAGGAGACCTAGAGCATACTGTATTCTCTCGCCATGTGGACTTGGAACTTATTGTGCACAGCAAGAAGTTGTGGATGGAGGGTGAATGCATATTATGGAAGTCTTAAAGGCCAATGTCCAGCAGTAGCTATAAAAAGATTGATGATGATATCAGGGCACTTTATTAACAAACATATTACATAAAACATACCAAGTCCAAATCTTCCTTCTCAACAATATCTATTTTATGTAAAGTTCCTGCATACTTTTTCGACAAATACTGAATAACTTCCTGTTCACATTCTTTTCTTGATAGAATAAGGAAGTAAGGTTGAAACATAAGGGACACTTTGAAACGAGAGCCATCCATTTCAATAAAATAATAGTCCATAGCTGAAACCAGTCTTTTATCTTCATCCAATATTTCAGCCTAAAACAAAAAAACACTATTGATTTATTTTTATATAATTAAGTTAAAGCATAGTACTAATTACTTAGATAAAACAGTGATGTGAAAAATAACAACAATAATAGTCTATCTACATCTGTCACTTCAATATACATTTTTATTAAAAACTCAAAATGGAATGATTGAATTACAGGTCCTACGTATTCTGGGATACTTACAGTGTGCATGTTAATGAGGTAGCCAGTGCGTTCTTTTGTATCACGTACTCTTTCGAACCCATATTTAGAGTCAATTCTATCGTTATCAACAGCTGTACGAATTCGATATTCTGAAGATTCTTCCCTGAAGTACATAAAACACATATAAACAGAAGTTTGTTTATCAGCAATTACTAGTAATTGAAAAAATAGTTATGGGAACCTGGATTGTGTGGATGGACCAGCATCCTTTTTGTTATCACTTCTCTCTGCCCTAAATTTTCCTGTATTTTGCAAAACCATGATCAGGAATATTTAATTAAAATACAAATTAATTTCAACTCATTTCTAAGTATAAAACTAGAGTAAAAGCTTGTAGCGTATTACTTTACTACTTGGTTTTGATTTTGACGTATAAACATCTGTTATACGTCAAATTTCCCGCGGTTTTAGATATTCGTTCGGATACTCGAACATTATATTAAGCGCATCACATCACACTTTACAAACTGTTAGATTTATTACTCTATTTAAATTATACGCGATTATTTAAGCTATTCGGAAAAATATAGTTTTACTAATACTGATCACATTAAAAACTAGCGAGAATAGCAAAGAGTGGAGAAATATCCTTCGAAACATCAGGATTCGAAAAACCCTGAGGAATAAGAAAACGATGCAGAGAGAGAAGAGGGAGCCTTCTCCTTCCACAAAATAAAAAAAATGCTCACAACGTAATATCTTTATTTATGTTTAAATAGTAGTATCTTATTACATCAAAATTATTAGTAACAGCATAATAAAAAAGTAGTTTTTGCATACTAAAAGTACAAAGAATTGTTAATTGTGTGTTGATTTTTTGAAGACCGCTCGCCCAACTGTTGCTACGACCGCAGGTGTCACCATCATCGTTTTAGCCTTGTATGTGTGGATTACTTGCTATAAAAAAAAATGAAAACTATACTAGCTTTCGCCCGCAACTTCAAAACAAAATTTCTTCCAAACTATCCTCTACATTTATGCTTTCATAGAGGTCCGTTCTGCAGTTTTTAGGCTTGGTTTAGGCCACAAACTTTCGCATTTATAATATTAACACATTTACACGAAAAAGAAAATTCAGATACTACGCACCAAGACCAGTTTGATGAGAAAGACAGCAAAGGTCAGGAAAGAAATAGTCATGAGAGCGCTCTCAGAGGAGGGGAACTCAACATGACCTCGAGACACCCCCGCGGCTCTACGCTGCCGGCGTTCATCATCATCAGGAAATGCGGATTCAATGCGAGTGTCTACAGATATAAAAAAAAAAACAATATTAGGGTAACAATAACTTCTGGCACTGGTGTTTGTTACATATTTAGTTTCTCACGTTTTTCTTGTTTATAACAAAAAATAACGTATCAGTGTGTAACTATTATGAGTGCGTACAAAACTTCAAGCGAAAGAGAAGCATGTTAAGAGATTTACCTTGAATGTAAAGAGCGAGTCTCTTCGTCTCCTAGTCGAAAAAAAAGTCATAAAACAAAAGTTCTGACTACGTGTAGCATTTAAAAACCCAGTTAAAACTTTAAAACTAAATATTATTTACCTATATCCGCTAATAAAGAGTCTCTCAGATCTTCTAAATATCTTAATTTACTTTTAAATGTTCTTCGTGTGCCGAGTTTTATAGTTTGCGAAACCACTTTAAGAAATTTAACAAGCGTTTCCATTGCACTCGTTTTTGTTTTAATTTTCTCCTCTCGATTTAAGGTGTGGTTTTGTTTGTTGCTTTTATTTTTAACATCGTTTCGTTCGAAATTGGTAACTACATCTGGACATGGTGTAGTTTCAGTATTAAAAAAACTTTCTTCATTATTGCCAACATTTCCTTTTTCAATATTATTTTGAAACACTTTTGTATTTTCTACACTTTGCTTGTTGTCTTTTTCATTTGTATCAGGTCTTATTTTAGTATTGATTGTCTTCGTCTCCGATACTTTTGAACTTTCGTGTTTGTTTCCATTTGTTGTACGTTGATTTAATATAGACACTTGATAAGCATTATCATGGAATATTTCCAGATTCCTGATTTGAGAATTGTGTTCCGATTCTTCTGTAGAAATGAAATCTTTATATGGATATCTTTCTATATTTGAACTTTTTCGTTCATTAGTTTGTATTCTTTTGATGCTCGGATTATTAATTCTATGTACATATCCTTTACTCCATTGATGCTCTAGAATTGAATTATTGCTGTAAATATTTTTGCTGTTGGTATCATGTCGCGTTGGTTTGTATTCTTTCCGATAGTTCTGTGTTATTTCGACCCATTCTGTAGCCACTAAGAGCGGTAGAAATACGAATAATAACATTTTAAAGTTGTTGTCTCTTTACATGTTCTTAGTTGTGAACTGTGATGTTACTAACGACATGGTTGTGCCAGACAGTTACGTCAGGGGTACAAAATTTTGGTACGTTTTTTATGAAAACGTTCCATTGCGACTCCGTTTTTATTTTCGGTACCGAAATTTTACATTGGTAAGTTGGTCTTTTGAGTTAGTATTGTGATCAGTTACAATACATGTTGTAGGCATACAATATTTTATATTTTCCTCTAATTTTAACGATTAGAGGGCAATATATACGTACATACTAAACGTTGTTCCAATGCATTGGTATTATATTTTTTAGACGGGACATAACAAAATTAATTTTAATACATCAGTAAATTTTATTGAACAAAGGTTGCTTACTTCTGAAAGCGAGTAGTATTATTATTCGCTCTGTGCTCATGTCAAAGTGAACCGAGGCGTACAATCCTCGTCACCGTAAAGATAAATACAGATTTAAAGATTTCCACTTATACAACACATATTGCCGTTTTCTTTTATGTGTCTATACTATTATAATAAAGCGTAAACACACACTTCTTTGTTGCCTAATATGCCAGCAACTACAGTGTATTTTTGAATAATTCTTTTTTTTAATAAAAAGCCCTACACTTACGTCACTCTTTAGGCTTTATATTTCACGCCATTAAACTTAGGGGGTAAATATTTTGAATAAAAACCCTTATATGGGAAAGAGAGCATAAGTCGCTGCCAACATCAAGAAATAAAGATTGCTAAGGTTTGTCTTGTCATGTCATGTTATTTTGACACTTGCAATTGATAATTTGACACATGTAATTATGGATCTATTCAACCTTGTATTCCATCCAAACCCTGGTATCTGAAACATGGGAACTTCAATAAAGGCACAATTTCTGTAATTACTCGCCTACGTCTGGGTTTTGTCGCCACCCCAGTATTTCTTGCCAAAATTCGTATTTATGATCATTCCTTGTGTGAGTGCGGTTTGGATGAGGGATCCTTAGAACATATATTTTTTAATTGTCCGAAACTTAAAGTTCACTTATATGATATTCTTCCTACCCAAATTCCTAGACCCATTAATATTCCATTCTTGCTAACCTTAGTTTACAGCCCCCTGGTGAAGGTTTTATTTAAATTTTTAATTTCCAATAATATTAAATTGTAATAAAAATATATAAATTTTGTATTTAGTGTGTAGTATAGTAACATTTGTGTTGTCCTATTACAGTGCCTCGATTGATATCATCAGCTACCGGTCATTTGTCAATCACACTGGATTCCGTCTATCTAGTTAACTGCTACTCAAAATTTTAGTCTCGTTTTATATACTTTCAATTATCTTCAACCTTGACGTTGGCGAAATCATCGAAATAACGATGGGGTCCACTAAACATTAAAAGAAGAAGAAGAAGAAGAAGACACATGTTAACAACAAAATAAAATTTTCATAATTTTAGGCGGATGAAGTCGCACGGAAACAGCTAGATGTCTATAAAATAAATTGTATGTAGATAGTGGGAATCCACGGTTATTCCTACACGTTCCTTTTCTTTCCAGCAGTCTATGCGCATTGAATAATTTCTACTTGATTACTTGTAAGAATGTTAGAAGAAATGAATAAAAATATGTAAAACATTAAATAAGTTTATTAATGATATAATTTGTGATACATTGATCTTGTAAACTTAAGTCATTTAACTTACATTAAGGAGAAGGACTGAATCATAGAACATAGTACTCGTAAAGGAACATTTTTAAGTTCCATTTCGATGGTTAAAAAAAAAAGAGTTTTATCGAAATTTTAGTAATGATTTCAAATGCTAAAGAAGTTATTTTGTGAATTTTTATACTTTAGATTTTATGGATAGAGATAAGTACGTGAATACCATTGTCCTATGAATTCAGTCCTTCGGAACTGTGTATCTTATTTAATTGTAAATAATAAAAAAACAAAACCGACTTCCAAACAAAACACACTAAAAACATAATATTCTCAAAAAAGTAACGAAATAACTCCTTGAAAATAGTAAACCTCCCTTATTGTAGCTCAAACAAAAATGGGACCCACCTGCAAGCATTACCTTTCGGATAAAAAAAGAATTATCAAAATCGGTCTACTAGCGGCGGAGTTATGCCGTAACACACATAAAAAAAATATATCGACGAATTGAGTACCTCCTTCTTTTGGGAAGTCGGTCAAAAAGTAAAAGACTGCAATAAATTAAAAACTGATTTTGTTTCTTTTAATTTTCAATAGCATTTTCTTGTGACTGTTCATAAATAATAACTATTTTTTTTGTTTAAATATGTCACTTTTATAGCTTTTTGCATTACAGATACACAGTTCCTTGTTAAAACATTTTTAATTCACATTAATTACAAATGTTAAACATTATTTTTGTGATTTCACAAACTACGTCAACATCTAAGCTTAACGACAAATATAATCTCGCATGTTACTAGGATTCCACAGATATATATCAACAAAGTTATCCGACCCGAGCGAATTAAATTATTATAGCTCACTAGCGCCACTTTACTGTCAAAAAAGTGTAACAAAATCCATGTCGAACTGTATCTTGTCTAAAATCTTCTATGTCTATGTAAGTTTTATGTAGATTCTGATAGAGCTCACCCCGAGCAGCGCTCTCGGGTCAGATAAGCTTGTCGCACTAATGAACTATGTATGTGGTTGGTCCAAATATTTAAACTCTATAATTTATTAAAAGGCGAAAGAGAGAGTAATACTATGAAGGAAAGAGAGAACAAAAGCTTCGGAAAGCTTTTAAAGTTGTTTTGTAAGGATTTGTATGGTTTTTTTCTGTAGATTCTTAAATACCTAATCTTAAAAGACAGCTAAAATGACTATTAGATTAGATTACGCACAGACATTGTAAAAATTATAATAAAAAAATACTTAAATTATACATTTTAAACGAGTATGTATGTATACTTACAAAAATCGAACTGTTTTCATTGAATAAAAAAACTTAATTTATAAAATGTCAAAATATTTTGCATTAAAAAAGAGATCACAGTAATTGGAAGCTTGCATTGCAAAGTATTATTAAATATAAAAAAAAATCACAGAACTTATTAACAGAAACTGCAAACTAAAAAAATATAGTATACATTTTTATCATATTTATGTAAGTAAATAATTTAAATCTGTCTAAATACTTCTCTTTTTCTTGTACAAAATAGTTAAAAAAACAACACTATCCCTCTTAAATTAAATACAACTTGGCATCGGTATAATTTCTACCTGTACAATGCCGTAAACAATTATATAAAAAAACACTTTAAAAATATTTCATATGTTGGCACTATTTTCACTGTCAAAAAATCTGTAAAAAATATAGTTTACCATGATTTGAATATAATATGTATAAATTATTATGATAAAGTTTTCTAATTATCAAATCTTAAGTATGACTAATGTATACGTAAAAGTCTGATTGATGAAATGACAAAATTTCAAACACTATGCCATTTTTATATTTTTGTGACGCTTAGTTTTTTATTAAAAAAAAATAGTTCCAAGTTGAAATATTCTTTGACACTTCGATAATGTAATTAAATTTTTTAAATAAAAAAGAAACACCTTTTATATGCCATTTCATCAATCTGAATTTATTAATTTGATACTAAACTAGTCGGTATTTCGGAATTAGGTTAATTGTGATTATTCCATTTACATTAAGTCACTTTTAAATTACATGTTTCGATCGCCATACAAAACCTTGATGTTTTTGTACATGTTTCAGCAATGGAAACATACTAATGCATTTCACCTATCTATATCTACTTAGGCCGTCAAAGAGATCTTAATCCCAACTATCTACTTATGGCCTTAGAAAGAGAATAAAATCGGATTATTTATGAAGATTTAAGAAATAAGTTTGGAAGACCTGAAACATTTTTATTATAAGGAATGTTAAGTATAGTAAAGAGAAAGATTTTATTCCTATATTATTATGGCTTAATTATTATCTTGTATGAACTTTATATATTTTTTCTGTGTACGTAAGTAGGCCTTTTATAATGGCATGTATTTGGCACTTACAAACAAATTCAATGGAAATGAGAAATAACAAATCAATCTAAACCTTTGTAAATGTAATCACAAAGATATTTAGCAGACATGTTTGTTTAATTTAAACACCAAACTAAAATAAATCCAAAGACAAGAAGTGGCATCAGTCTATGGAATGTGCAAATAAAATATGTCACTTCTATTGAATTTGACCATGTTTTAATTTGCATGTATTTTAATAGTGTAGATTGTTATTAAACATGAAACTACTTTAAATAAAATTGTATATGTATTAAAAAAATTTCTTTTCCACAAACGAATGCAACGTGTGGTTATAAAAGTAAAAAAACAACATACAATTAACTACTGTTAAGAACAAAATTAGTACCGTGCTGTAGAATTGGCGCAATTCTACATTATCTGCATAAACGTCACGTCCCTAGCTGACAGCTGTCAATGTCACTAGGAGTATGGATAGATTGGCGCGCAAACTGGGACTGGACGAGAAGTGTTGCTCTGAGTTTAAAGCGACAGTATCAATTAAATAAGTTGTCTAAAACTACCAAAGTATTTTAAAAATAATTCCTGTTACATTTATAACATTACTGATTTGTTTGTTTATAAAATCTTTTAAAATCAACTTTTTTACAAAAAAAAACGTACAAATATAAAAATAAAGTTATTATTTAGTTATAATTGTAAAGAATCACACTATTTGAATGTTTAAGAAAAGGGCCTTGTATGTATTCATAGACTAGACATATACAAATGTGATTAAAGAAGCGATATAAGAAAATAACCATAGATGTATAACCTATAGATAGAGTGGTCCAAACAAGTTAGACATAACTGATGGCCGATTTACGATAAATCATTTTGTAAATAAAAACGCTGGAGAAAATGCCCCCAACAAAAGAATTAAAAGGCCTTTTTAACATTAATATTGTGCTTCAGATCTATAGGTTATATATCTATGGAATTGACAGGAAAGATTTTCTTACCTGCCATGTAGTTAGTTACCATATAAGATCTCACCATTACTTAAGTACTAATTATTATGTCAAATTATTTTCATGTTGAAATCTCTAAAAATATAAAATATACTAAAGCTGCTATAAACTTTGTCAATAGTTAAAAATTAAATAAACATAATGTATGTAAAAACAAGTTCCATATATACGGTTGCGCGGCTGTAACCCGCAGTGCAACCGAACCATCCTTTAGAGTTTAATAAAATGCCTTTATTTCATAATAATAAATAAATGTTATGAATTGAATAGTAATATAAAATTAAATAACATTTTTAAAAATAAAATTAAAAGGCATTTTACATAAGTGCCTGATTTGTCACACGCGTGTCCTAACGCCTCATTTTTATCTTCACTAGTATGAATTTCAAGCTGCGTTTTATTGTTCTGGATTTCTTCGCGTCGTCAGGTTTGCTGGACCTGGACAAGATAAAGTGGAGGTTAAAAAAAGTACCTTTCATTAATTTCCCGTATAAGATTTAATTAATAACGAATATATGTGTGTGTGTGTGTGTGTGTCTGTGTGTGAGTGCGTGTGTGTGCGTGTGTCTGTGTGTGTGTGTGTTTTTTTTTATAGAGGGAAAAATGCTTTATAGCACCGTCAGACATGGGAGCTACATGCCTGGTGTGTCGGGCTCAGGCTCATTAGTATTCACCTAACCTAACATGAGTCCCGTTACCGACTAAACAAGCCTCTCTATGGACTTTTTTGTGCCCCCACGGAACTACCGTCAAGTATTGTGTGTGTGTGTGTGTATGATACTGACGCGGCGCAGTGCGGGGCGGGTGCGGGGTGCGCGCGCGGGGTGCGGGGTCACTGCCAGCGCGCGTCGTCGCTGGGGTGTGTGAGGTAGCGCGCGCTGACGCGGTGCTCGAGCGCGCGCAGGTCGAGCCAGGCCTCGCGCGTCTGCAGCCAGGCGTGCGCCGCGCACTTGTCCACCGACAGCCGCTTGCGCTGCTTCACTTGCAGCAAGTTGTTGATCAAGTCGATCGCTATAAAAAAAAGATAAACATTATAGGATTTAATATTACTCTCTATGTGTGAAACGTCGTCGTCACATCAGGTACATTTGTCCCCAATACTACCCTATTTCAGACCCAGATCCAGACTAGGCCCGGTGTATGGTAATTTCACATACATCTTCGATTTTTTTCACCGTGTACACTTCTATACGACATTGAAATGGTACTTGTCATTATACAACAAAACAAATTTCCTTGCTTTCAAAAATCTGTACTTATTATTAAAAACCTAACAGTTGTGAATATTGTAGTTAGGGTGCTGTAGTGACATTTGTATACCTTCAGCGGAGATCTCCCGCCATGGCGCGGGGGGGTACATGAAGGCCGCGTTCTGTATCTGCTCGTTGATATCCTCATCCTCGTTGAAGGGGAAGGTGCCGGATAGAGACACGTACACGATGACGCCCACAGACCACATGTCCAGCGACCTGTTGTAGCCCTTGTTGCGCAGCACTTCGGGGGCTAAAATTTACAATAACATTTTTTTAAATCATAAGGTGAAAAACGAGCTACCGGTCATCTGAATTCGCCGAAATTGCAAAGCGACCGCTGACAAAAAGACAATTGTAGATGCAATGCATAGCGTATGCATATAAGATAATGGTGTGAGGGAAAAGGGGTTTAATCAGGCTTAAGGAACGCCCTAATTGGAAAAAACACGAATTTTTTACCACTTTACGTCTTTCTTCTGCGTGGCTATCTCACTTATATTATAAATACGAAAGTTTAGATGACCAGATGGATGTTTATAAGAGTTTGTAGCCAAAACAACTAAACCAATCTTAATGAAATTGTGTATAAATGTAGACCATAGTCTGGAAGATCACATAGGCTACTTACTTTTTTTTATTTCCACGCGGAGTCGCGAGCGAATGCGAGTATGTTATACAAGCTTAGTCTCAGTAGTAAAGCTGTACTCAATATACTAACCAAGATACGCTGGGGTGCCAACAACAGATCTCCTGAAGGACTTCTCCCCTATGATCCTGGCGAAGCCGAAGTCGCACAGCTTCACCTGCGGGAACTCGTCATCTGAGGACAGCAGCACGTTCTCCGGCTTCAGGTCGCAGTGCACGATGTTCTTCTCGTGTAAGTGCTTTAGTGCTACCAAGATCTGGAAAGTTAGAAAAGTTGATGTTGATATACGACTTTCTAGTGTCCTGTATAGTTACACACAATTGAAAGGAGAAATTATAAGTAGAATTTGACATTTCATTTGAATTTGACTGTTCATAAATACATTATTCATCCTTCTTTTTGTTTTTGAATAGACAACAATTTACATAGATAAAGGAGATAAGAGAGTTTCTATACTTTATGGTGCGTATACGTACGTAGAAGTTCATACGCAATATGTAATGGGTAACAAACTGTTTTTTTTTTTAAGGGACAAAAAATGGTTAAGACGATAGTTTTTTTAACTTAATAAATTAGCAGAATAGAATCTAGTAATTATTAGAACTGTTACCCACCTGTGCCACTAAGAACTTGGTAATCCTTTCAGTAAGTCTACCCTTTTCGTGGGAGAGTATCATCTCCAGCATATCTCCCTTCAGTTTTTCCATCACCACGAATATCCTTTCAGGAGTCTCGAACATTCGCTCCAAGTTGACGACGCCTGGATGTGACAAGTTCTGGAGGATAGCTACTTCGTTCTTTAGCTGTGCTTCTTGTTTCGTTGGGAAGCGAAGTTTATCTATCACCTGTGGATTTATTAAGTTAATTAGCTTTAAGGGTTAAAAAGATATAGTAGTATGTGTTCTTAATGATTATTTTCTACACCTATGCCTTTCGGGAAGATCAGTTCAGCTGTTTGTGAGGTATCTTCTAACAAACATCTATCCATCCATCCATCGATCCATCCATACAAACTATGCATTTATAACATTAGAAAGATTAAATCTAATGATGTGGTAATAACCTTAATGGCGACAGGTCTCTGCGTGCGGCGGTGCAGGCCGCCATACACGATGCCGAACTGTCCTGAGCCGAGCACCTCGTCCGGGTAGATCTGGTACAGCTGCGCCATCTCCGCCGCGCGCCCCGCCCGCCCCGCGCCGCCGCCCGCCTCCGCCTCCGCGCCGCCCTCCTCCGCCTCCGCGCCCCCCGCGCTCTCCTCCGCTAACACATGGTCAAATATCACTTAGTATGAAAACGAACACAAAGAGTCCCATTCAGTGTTATAAAATCTATCTTACTGTAGATTTATTATGAGTAATCCATATTAAATCTCTTTCATTGAGGATTTAGTGACCAATGGTTGTGAGGCAGTATTTTGATAATATAATTGAAGATGTATTAGACCATGAATAAAGCTCCATACCATGCATGGAGCATGGCGTTGTGTTCTGATTTCTTTACATAAGTATGTATTTTGAACAAATCATATAATTGTAACTAGCGTAATTAATTTCAACAACTAGAGTACTGACCCCGTCAGAAAGGCGCGCTATTACAGAACTTCTGCATGACATTGACAGCTGTCAATAGGGACGGGACGTCATGTCGATAATCTAGTGTTGAGCCAATCCTGCAACGCGGTACTAACTTTTCTTCTTAACGATATGTATGTATGACAGGTGACAGAAGGCAGTAGGAGGTAGTAGGTAGAAGTTACCTGCGCGATGTGTGACAGGCATGAGGGCCTGTCGCACCGCAGTCTCCCAGGAGCGCGCGAGGTACGCGCCGACGCCGGAGGGCGGGGGCGGCACCGCGCCGGCCGCGCCCGCCCACGCGGGGTCCACGCCCACCATGTAGTCCACGTTGGCTGTGCGCAGCTCGAAGCAGTGCATCACGTCTACGCAGAACATGTACATCCACTATCTAATAAACCCTTAAGAGTTCAATCATATAGACCGGAACGGTAGAGCGGTTAATGAAAATGAAATTGAACTTTACACAATTGGAATAAGGTTCAATTTCACTTTGCACGCCTTACCGTACCAAGAGTAAGTATAGAATAAAGTCCTATTTTGTTTGCGAAGAGTCTGTTCTGATCTCTTATCCATAATACCAGTAAAAATAGGAGGTGAATAAAGATTTCCTTGGATCAAAGTCAAATTTTTAAAAAGAAATAATTAAATTTCTCGAAAATTTCGTATTTGTCACAGATGTAATATAGTTTCAATGAATACAAAGGCTACTAAATAACTTTTTTTTATTTTTTTACGCATAAGGTATCGGGCGAAAATTGTTTTCATTAGGAAACAATTCGTTTATTTATACTAATTAAATACGTTAGTTTGTAAACTGACCGGCGTGCGGCTGTCGCGCGGTGTCGACGGCGAGGATCTCATTGAGAGGTATCTCCTTGTAGTACTTGGTGCCTTGCTCCGACGTGAATAATGTTATTGACTTGCTGTCCAGTCGCCAGTAGTGACGTTTGATCTGAAAATTATCTTAAATTATAACCTAACTGTATAGAAATACTGGTCTGGGGGCGTTACAATCGCGTTTATTACATCACTTTCTAAGCGCAAATATATTCGTTATATTTATAATCCTGGTTAGAGTATACATTTACCACTTTGACCAATCGTTTATTCAGTGATCAACCTACTTTTGCACTTTTCTTTTTTTTTAATAATAATAAAAGGAGGCAAAAACCCTTTACGAAACAATCATGATTTAAATTCTGTCATAATTATTGATTACTGGATTCGTTCACTCTCAATAAGGAATCGTAGTTTAGTTAGCTTCAAATTTATAAACTTTCTTCCAGGATTTTTTTTATTATTCAATCATAAAGATGTGTTGCTGGATGTGTCATGAGACTTACCGTTTTATCCTTATTAGTGAAGTGCACCATCCAGCCCTCCTTCAGCCACTGGCCCTCCCTCTTCTTGGTGTGCTTCACAGACTGTACGATACGCATCAGCGGGATGTTGGCACTCGGGGAAGATGATGAACTGCAAATCACCAAGTCATTTTACCAAGGAATATGGAGAAAAACTGCTGTATTGGTGAGTGTAGATAAAGTTTAGTATAATGTACATTATAATGAGCTATTAGTATAGATAACCTAGTGTTGTGAGAATTGAGCTCCGAGCCGGAAACTCGAGCTCCGAGTCGAAGCCACTGAGCCTTAAGAGCTCGAGCTCATTCAAGGCTCGAGCCTTTAAGACTTAGAGTCTTAAATTTAGGACTCGAGTCGAAGCTCGAACCTCGCAATAAGGCTCGAGCCCCGACTCGAGCCTTTATAAGAGGTTCGAGCCTTGAATGAGTCGAAGACTCGGGAGACTCGAGCCATTTGACAACTCTACTTATAGTATATTTGTTACTATTAAAACTGATTAAATAAGCCGGAGATTAAAGATGCACAGAACCATCACCATCATCCCCACATTCATCACCCTCACCTGCTGGGCCTGCTAGCAGAGCGGTCTGGCAGTGTGTCGCGCTGCGGCTCCTCTTGCCCTCCTCCACGCCTCGACACCTGCACAAAAATTAAATTACTATCCTGAAAATTATCATATATAGACTTTTTGGATATGACATAAAAGTTACAGTACATCCACGGTAAAATTTTTCCGAATACGTTTACCTAAACAATTTTAACGTCAAACTATAATCGTAAAAGTGTAATTACAAAATCTCATTTTACTATAGTTCAGTGACATATACCTCGTGGTCTCCATCGTCTGCAGCGCCATCAGCGCCTTCATCAGACTCCTCGTCAGGGCGCGCGTTCTCCGACAACTCCGACCCGGTGCTGCTGTCCTGGTACTCACCTGTGGGAATGTAGACATCTTTATGTACTATTTATATACTTAAGGTTTTTATAACATATTTTGGCATTAAAGCAATATATGACCTTGAAATGACATTGAATAATTTAATGATTTTTATGGGTTCGGGTTTTTTTTGCTTGATTAATTTATACCAAAATATCGGATTTAAAGACTTATGTTGTTTTCAATAGCGTAATAATAAGCATTACATATTGCAACTATATTGAACCCCCTAATCAATAAAGCATGCGTGATAAAAAAAGCAAGAATCACCCGAAATAATATCGATAAGATATAAACGTATTCAAGAAGCCCCTTCTAATTACATATCACACTTAACATCTTTGTAACCGAGTGATGAATTTATTTTTAAGCACCAATAGCATAATGGCCATTCGACTACTATCGTGAGCCAAAGCCTAGCACAAGCTTAAAGCTGAGTCAAAATGGTTAAAGGAAATATTAGTAAATTAACAAAAATCTACTAATATTAAAGAAAAAGATTGTCCTATGGAAGCATTCCGAGCAAAAGTTTCTATAACAGTTATTTACACGCACTGTGGGCGTCTCGTATCTCAGCGCCGCAGTCTTTGGGCACGAAGGGTAGACACTTGCGGTGGGCGTTGTAGTGGCAGTCGCCGCACTGCAGGCCCTGCTTGAACAGTCCTCGCAGCAGCTTCTTGCACAGCCGGCAGACTGTCGGCCGCGTGTACGTGTGCACTTGGAACGTGTGCGGAATGCCTAACGAGGAGGGCGGCGGCCACGCGCTCGCTGAGCGTTTTGTTGTACCCCCCACCTGAGTGGAAGACCAGCCCCCCTATATAAAGGAACATTTGAGTAGCGATATCGCTGATCGAAGTCAAAAATGCATTTGACAACTGATTTTTTATTTCTATGCATTTTAATTTGTTTTATCGATTTTAAGAGTGGTATCGTTAATCGAAAGTGACTTTATCTAGGGGGGTTATTACCGCATAATGAACGGGGTATGTTTGTATGTAAAAATTTAGAAAACATTGGACTGATTTCAGAAATTCTTTTACAATTAGAATATATTGTCACTGAATAACATAGACTATATTTTTTAAAGATTTTCTTATTTCCGAATAGACGAAGTCGCGCAGTAATGCTCGCGGTAAAACCTATCAACTTCTTTGTCTACAGTTCTACTACAGTCATATCTCATTTAAATAGGCCTAGAGGAGGAAAATAGTTCTTTTTTCTCATAGTTATTTTCTTTTTGTGCCGTTTGTCAGATATAGAAATAATTTGTGTAATAACAAAGGCATCGGATAATGTCTCATGCTATATTTTTGTAAAGAATTTATGATTAGCATGGATTTGTTCTTCAATCTTTAGTTAACAATTATAGAAATTAAATACATTTCAAATCAAGATTACCTATACTTAGATTACTTGTAAATACAGTTTATCGTTAGTGATTCCTCAAGGTTCTATACCTAGCCCAATCTTTCTACAAAATGTTTTCTGTGTTTGTTATCTTAGTAAAGAATACTACTTTAGGCTTTCAAGTTTTTTTTTAACTTTTTCTTCTTTTCACTTAATGATATAAAGTTAACATATTTTACTTACAATGGTAGATGGGTGCAGTGTTTGAGAATAAAACTACAATGTTCTGTTAAGTACATTTATTCATTAAAAAATATTACAAAATCAAACCATTGCTACCCACCACCCATTGTTAGTCTTAATAATACTTTAAAAAAAATACAGGAAAATAAATCTATCAAAGATTGCTTACAAAATAACTATTACAACTTTTTAATAATATATCTATAGATAATACGTTAATTTAATAATTTGTCAGTATCTAAACTATATGGGTGACAATTTATTGACTCTAAAATATAATAAAATCACAATTTTGTCTTTCTCAAAATACATAAATGGAATGGATATTTAAATCTAAAAAAAAATAAGTTTGTATAATTTTAAATTCAAAGATATTTTTTGAGGTGTAAATAGCCTCAATATATAACCGGATATAAATAAATGTCTTTTGATCTACCATTAAATTATTTAAATAAGCGCCATCTAGTGTGAAAAATATAAACATTAATGTTTTGTATTTAAAAATTATACTGAATCATAAATGAATTTTTATCACTTAATTCTTTATAGACTAAATATATAAATTGCAGAGATTCAAATATCTGTTAAAAATGCATAAATAAGATAATCTCAACTCAGATCTAAGAAGAGTTTCTTCAATTATTAAAAAAAATCAAATAGCTTAAATGAATTGCTGTTTTTACGATACATATGCTTGTAACTATAAGGTACATCAAATAAACCGTTATATCAAATTACAAACAATATCAGTTTATATTTGACAGATTAAAAACTTTACTATCGTACGTTAGAATCAAAGAGATTAAAATACATAGAGTAGGCATAGTTGACACTACATTTGAGACAATTCTCACATAATAATCACTATCGCTATCTGTTGACAAGTTTGAAACTATGACAATATAGTTAATAGTATTTAAATTGTCAATAGGTGTTACTAAATAATTATTTGAAAATATCTATACAAGGACACGAGGTGGCGCACTAAATTTGACAACTGATTTATTACCTGTCAGAGATATTACCGGCGAAAAAATTTGGTTCACTATGCCTAGTCTATATTTTTTTAATGTTTGGTCAGAATAGTGTGTCAATTATTGCCAGTAACGAGATCAGCTAGCCTCCTTACCAGCGAGTCATCGCGCGAGGCGTGGCTGTGCGTGGAGCTGCGCGAGGGGCTGCGCGGAGCCCCCGAGGCGCGGCGGCCGGGCGCTCCGCCCGCACTCGCCGCACCCGCGGGCGCTTCGCAGTTCAGTGGCACCTTCACCGCACATCGCTTGTGATAGTTCAATCCGCACCCTGGAATTATTAATGTACTATTAGGGAATCTGTCAGTGATATACATTAACGCATTGAAACAACGACACAGAACAATAACTAATAGTATGCAGCTTTTATATGCCTGTACGACAAAAAGGTCGGTCAGTGGGTCTAATTAGGTTTTAATATTATCCCTAATTGGTTATTTGTAAAAGGCGGAATACTATACAGATTTCCGCAACTGCACAATGATGAAGGATGTCTGATAAAGACACAGCGAAGATTGCACAATCGTGTTTGTTGTTAGAAGAAAAAGTACACGATCACATCTGTTTCTTAAATATCCAAATATGTCGCAAAAGCCCTTTATACCTGTCTTATTTATGTCGTTTTATATTTCTAAGTAAAAAAAAATTTTCCTTTTCGAGAGAAGTTACCAATATAATAACGGTACTTTTACTAAATAAGCCACTATTGTTCTATTTTTTTCAGTTATTTCTAAAAGTTCCTAATAAGTTACCTTCACACTTAAGTCCCTGCCGGACGAGACCGAAGAGCATTTCCCCACAGAAGTCGCAGAATGTGGGCGCCTTGTAGGAGTGCACGGCGAGCGCGTGCGGCCGCGGGATAGGCGCGCTCTCCGCACCCTCGCCATCACAAATCAACGCAGCTGGAAAAACACTTATTATAAACAACACCATAACAAAAGAGTTTTATTGAACAATACCAAAATCCTAGTAATACATGAGAGAGATACATCATCACCGTATGAAACTCAGGGGAAGAACACAAAACGAATGACAACTCCCAAAAATGCAGTCGTTTATGCTTGGTTTACATTATGCCAATCAAGTAGATCAATAGTGTTCTATTCAATGCTCGATTACAACTGGTAAAATGTTAACACTGACGCCAACGAGCCTTTACAGTCCTCGCAGACGCTACTCTCCAACTGAATTGTCCAAATGTAAACGTTAGGTTACAGTAGGTTACAATAAACTATTGCCTGATGAAGGACTGTAGGATTCGAATGATTTGAATGATGAGAATCTTTATTTGCAGCCATAAATTTATCACAAGACACTAGTCTTAAGCACAAAACGATCTATCTTACGGTTAGCAGTGAGTACTATTTCCACGAGAGTCTCGTCGGTGATGTCAGCGGCGGAGTTCACGAGCTGCAGCACGTTGGGTGAGCAGTAGTCGTGTCGGAATAGCAGGATGCGCTCCGGCAAACGATTCAGTCCATTGTCCGGAATCTACAAGATATGACATTTTATGCTGGGGTCAATTCATGCCAATAAGTTGCTTAAAAACAACGGTTTAGTAGACTATTGTTTCGATTAAGCTTCTTGCGAGTGTAAAGGATAAAATCTTTGACCGCTTGCTCGTTTCACCTTATACTATAAAAAAATAGATATTGGCATATCGATTATCGCTACTTTTGGTCGGTATTTATTGTCTTTACTTCTACACTAATGATATAAATAGGAAAGATTTGGATTTTTGGATTTTTGTACGAATTAAAATAGCTCAAAAACTACTGAGCCGATTATCGCGGACAAAGTCGCAAGCAACAGGACAACGGGGAGAGATGGTACATACCTTGTCATGCACGAACTTAACGGCGAGGTCCTTGAGGTGCGCGAGGGTGAGCGCGTGCGCGGGCGCGGAGGCCACGTCGCGCAGCACGCCCAGCTGGAACATAAACGTCACCTCGTCCTCCATCGCCTTCCGCCACCAGCGCGCCCTCGCCGCACGCCTGCACAAACATTTACAATATACTTTGTAATCTGCCACATTCGGATTATTTCCAACCGTCAACCCGCTCTGTTCCTTCGTAGGGACAGATGACAATAAAGAGTTTCATCCGTCTCACCTTTTGCGACGAGGGGACGGTTGGAACTTATTTTATTTCTTAACTGTTCCATTTGTCACCTTATTGGTGTTAGTGGGACTAAAAGGTGGGACGGATAAATTCTTATTCTCATCTGTCTCCACGTGGGGACAGAGAAGGGTGACGGTTGGGAATAAACCCCACATTCAGAGTGACTAAGGTCAGTCATGAAATCTCGTGAAGTTTTCACTTCACATTTCACTAACTGCTAATTACGTGGTCTCTCTTAACGGAAGCTTAGTGCAGATTAACCAATCTGAGTCCGTTAGTAGTTAGTAGTTACACAGAAACACTAAGAACTAATACATACTGTTCGTATTTTTACGAGTAAATTATTATCTGTACTAATATTATAAAGAGGAAAGATTCGTATTTTTATGTATTGAAATAACTCAAAAACTACTACGCTGATTTTAAAAGTTCTTTCACCGTTAAAAAGCGACGTTTTCACTGAGTAACATAGGAAGTGTTTTTTTTTGATATTTCTAATTTCCCGCGAACGAAGTCACCGGCAACAACTAGTGTACAAAAAAAGACAGATTTTGTAACTTAGTTTACACACAATATGTTAAAGAAAGCATTTTATATGATAGACTGCAGTCAAAGTGCAACTGGTTACTCTTTAATCGAGAAATATAAATGGCAATAAAGTGATAATTTTTTTAATATCAAAGAAAACATGACCTTGTTTTTGACAAATATGCATTCAATAATTTACAGGTTAAATATTTACGCCGAATTTCAAGATAACATCGTACCTATTCTTTAATATTTTTTTAAGAAATGTGTAGATGTTCCGACAAATACATACATTTATGGGACTTTTTTTTTATAACAAGGTGGCAAACGAGCAAGCGGCCACCTGAATCCGCCAAAATGGCGACGCGACCGCTGCCCATAGACATTCGCAATTGCAGATGCGTTGCCCTTATCCGACAGAGGAGGAGACGCACATAAAGAGGATATTTCCCCTTCTTGTGCATCTCCTCTACCGTCAAATCCACTTCCCGTTCCCATTCTCTCCTTATAAGAAAAGGGTCGTAAAGAGAAAGGGACTTAAATTAGGCCTCCGGCACCACACTCATCAGACGAAACACGGAATTGCTTCCATTTCCCGCCTGTCTTCTGTGTGGTCGTGGTATTACACCGGGCGTGCCGGCCCATTCGTGCTAAGATGTTAAAGCGGGCACTACCACTGTTAACTCTCTTAGTATTATAAGTAGTATTGGAAAATCAGCTTACAACATATCCGAATACTGAAACAAATTTTAAACAATTCGCACAGCACAGCTTAAAATTTGTCACACGTCAGGTTTTAATAGATTTTCGAGTGTAATCGTGACTTTAACGCTGTTACACATTTAAGGGTGAGTTGCACCATATCGCCGGTTACCGTTAAAGTTAAAATTATTTGTAACGGTAATATTTGGAATAACCTTAAAATTTACTAAGGGTGAGTTACATTAACTAACTATAAACCTTAACCAGCACATTCACGATGGTTACGTCTACGGATGTTCATGATATTCGCTACACCAGTTTTGCGCTGGTCAAAATGACGTCATATATGACACTAATCATAACCGCCCGATTTTGGGCGGTTATAATTAGCGTTACGGTTAGTGTCAGTTCGGTAGTGTCAACTGTCACAAGCTCTTATCTTCAAAAGTACAAATAATGGAAAAAGTAATGGAAAAAGAAAATCTCTACTATTATCCTATACGTAATCCAGAAGAATAAAGTCTTGCGTGCTCGGGAATAATGGATTTCCAAGATGGAACTCGAAATTTGGCCAATCATTCAGTTTGGACAAATTTCGAGTGTCTAAGGCCATAGCAACAGCGCTTGTCCCTTTTCTCTTATTTAAAAAAATGTCCTCCATAAAAGGACAATTTATAATATGCATTGAGAGGACAATTTATAATATGGCAAATAAATAAGATGCATTTATATTTGTATAATTTTATTGTTTCATTTTTGCTACATATTTGAGTAGTAAAGTAAATACAGTTTCAATAATGGCCCAAACTAGTTTATTTTCACAAGAGTTTGCCATTTTCTCCATCTCCGTGGGCAAAAAGTTTATGTCACTATAAAATACCATGCGTATGATACATAAATATATACGGCGAAACATGAATTTCCAAACATTTTAATTTACGTAAATGTCATTCTTGACACCAACTTGACACTTTAGTGGTATTCAGGTTTAAATGTTTCCATTGTAAAAACGAAAAACACATAAAACCTCTGTGAGAATATGTTTTTGCACTTGTAACCCTATTAACTATAACTATAACTTTTACGATAACCGGCGATTTGATGCAACTCACCCTAAATGTCGTTTCAGTATTTGGCCATCGACGTATGTCTTGTCTTTAATACAAAAAAGCGTAGTATCGAAAGTGCTAAGTATTGTCCCATTTTATATGGAATTCTAAATAGATGTCCATTTAGCAAAACATACTGAGGCTTACGATAATTAAATAAACACAAGTCAGTCACCCTTTAAGCCTTTCTATGTTGTTTTACATTGTTTGTTCACAAAGAATTGGAAATGGCCGCTTGCTCGTTTTCCACCTCGTATTATAAAAAAAAATGATAAAGTTACAGGCGATACAGAATACTAAATAGATTTAGAACCATAGAGTAAAGGAAATTCTTCTGGAACAGTTTTTCAAACATTATTCGTGTAAAATAAAGGAGTCTCATAAAAGTTGTTTTCGGGAACGTATTCCGAATTGCATTTGTCAGCGATTGATCGTGAAGGTAGCCCATTTACAATTTGCCTAAACAAATTTGAAAGTACTAAAAATAAATGAATAACACTAAAATCTACAATGATGAATCTTTACGAAGTCAATACAGTATATCAATTGAATTTGCAATCAACTTTGTCCATCTATGAAGGAGTTAAAGGTGTTACAGTTAACATTGTTAAAGCAAGTCTGTTAGAGCAAAAAGGTTTGTAGTTCCACGAAACAATATTACACGCGCAAGGCTCACAAGGGCATCTGATTAAAGGGTCGTTATCAAAAAATACTCTACACGTGTAACAGCTTTAGAAAGGATATCATTAGGTTAATTACATGTTTTCATTCGGTGCATTATCTTGAATCTTTATTGCATTCGAACGATACGTAATGAAAAATAACAACAATATGGCTAGGAACATGTAATTTTGTCACCAGTCACGTGTATAAAATGCCTACTAGAATGTCCTAATAAATAACAATTGTCGATTTATAAATTTCTTCCAAACAAAAACATAGACAGTGGACGTAGGTTAACGTTACTTACCACTGCGTAATATTTCTTAAACTTAACATTGTTTTAAACGTCTATAAGAAATTATATCTCTAAAAACAATCAAAACTTCGTAAACAAAGTATTGTAGGGAATTGTTTGCTCTCTAAATAAGATTGAATATTTGTGATTGATTTAACGAACAATTCTAGTGAAATTATATCTTGGCACGCCGGCATTTCATCTTAGACAAAAACAATAGTTTCGTCATACCTACGACATCGTGTAGCACAAACAAACAGTAGGGGTCAAGGAGGGGCGCTACGCGCGCGTGCAGACCCTCCCACTAGATTATCTAGTCGCTAGCCATCGTAAACACCTCATGCTGATACTTTGAGCTTACGTTTTATAATGCTTATCTATATATAAATATTAAAGAAATTTACGTTACAAATTGTGATAAAATGATGGTAGGTATCCTGACGATTTTTTACAGCCCGCTTGTAACATGTAACAATTTGAAATATTTTATATATGTCCAAAGGTAAAGTTCCTATATCCATAATTTCACATACATATTTATTTGTTACGGAAAATACAGTCCTAGGTAAGTACTAAATTGCATGACTAGAACGCAGACAATGCACATAGCGACAGACGAAGCCTGACAATCGTCGCAACATTGTACGCTGCACTCGCGCCAGGAGCGCAGTAACTAGGGCTGCCACCTCATCGGATTTTCACTTCAATATTCTTATGATATGTGCCAGAGGAAGCTGGAGGTATGTAATGGAGAGGTATAGACAGAATTCCAAGTCTTATACAGGGCCAAAGTTACGGTGGAACCGCCACTTTACTTTGTTAATTATTTTCGGGCTTCAGGTTAGACTGTGTTTTACGGTAATTATAAAAGGCTATGTGATGCGTTTAAAACACATAATTTACTTTGTTTTTTTTTAAACGTCGCTCGCCAAAGAAGCAAGGGTCAACTCACTGGTCGACATTGTAGTCATTTATTTTTTTAGGTTGACAGCCCTACGTGTAATCCTTTACACAGGAAGTAACAAAGCACCGCGCGATAATACGGTAAAACATAACGAAGCTTTACAAATACAAAGTTTAGCTTTTTTACATTTCATTTGTAGAATTATGTTATTTAAGAGGAGTTTTTTGCGGAAGCCTTAGCCGTAACTTGATGATATTGGTAATTACTATGCGTTTCTATTTCTGAATCACATATATTTGTTTGTATTCGTAACAAGTGTTAGTATAATAGTTAAACTCAATTGGAACCCTTACACATAAACAAGTGACAACACAGAGAGAGCGTGGACAAGCCGCCACGTGGACAGCTTAGATAACCCTGTACTAATCGGAAGTCGTGTAGGGTCGTCGCCAAAGGGTTTTCTTGACGACTTTAAATGAATATTACATCTTAGAAACAAAGTAGAAGAGGACATCTAAAAGGTCTACACGTTTTCCCAACAATTTCCTCAATATAAATTAAAATAACAAACTATCTCACCTACCGAGCATAAAGTACATCAACAAATATCATATAAATTTTGTAGATTGCACTACGAACACAATTTCGCGATTGTTACGCAAATATTCATAAT